TCAACTGTTTCAAGAGGCGGCATACAATCAAGAACCAATGGGCCTGAAAGATGTCCAAGCTGTGCTGAAGACCCTGGCAAAGACACCTGGCCAACCAATTGGAAGAGCTCCATTATTTGTGCCCAGTCCCAATGGAATATGAAAGTCATCAAACAATATCATTAATATCACATGCAAGTAAAATTCTGTTGGACATAATTAAAGATGGTTCCAACAGTGTATCGACAGAGAGCTGGCAGAAACTCCAGCCAGATTCAGAAGAGGATGTGAAATGAGGGATATCACTGATGATGTCAGATGGATCTTGGCCAAAAGCAGAGAATACCACAAAGATGTTTACATCTGTTTTATTAACTACACAGAGGTTTTTGACTGTGTGGATCATGACAAGCTATGGATAAAACTGTAAAGAATGGATATTCCAGAACACTTCATTGTTTTTATGAGGAACCTGTACAGAGACCAAGGGAACACTTAATGGTTTCAAGGTGAGGAAATGTGTGTGCCAGGGCTGTGTTCTTTCATCATACTTACTCAATCTGTATGCTGAGCAAATAAGCTAAGAAGCTGGGTACTATGAAGAAGAGCATGACATCAGGATTGGAGGAAGACTCATTAACAGCCTGATGATACAACCTTGCTTGCTGGAAGCAAAAAGGACTTAAAATACTTACTGATGAAGATCAAAGACTACAACCTTCCGTATATATTGCACCACAATGTAAAGGGGAAAAAAAAAAAATCCTCACCACTGGACCAATAAATAACATCATGATAAACGAAGAAAAGACAGAAGTTGTCAAAGACTTCATATTGCTTGGATTCACAATCAACACTCATGGAAGCAGCAGTTAAAAACCCAAACGTACTGCATTAGGCAAATCTGCTGCACAAGTCCTCTTTAAAGTGTGCAAGAGCAAAGATGTCAGTTTGAGGACTAAGGTGCGTCTGATCCAAGCTATGGTATTTCCCATAACCTCATGCATGTGACAACTGGACAGTGAATAAGGAAGACCTAGAAGAAGTGAGGTATTTGGATTATGGTGCTGGGCAAGAATATTGAAAGTACCATGGGCTGCCAGAACAAAGCAATCTGTGTTGGAAGAAGTACAGCCAGAATGTTCCTTAGAAGCCAGGATGGTAAGACTTCAGCTCTCATACTTTGGACACATCATCAGGAGGGACCGGTCCCTGGAGAAGGACAGCATGAAGTGGAGGGACTGTGAAAAAGGAGCCCCCCAGGGAGACGGGCTGACACACGGCAGCAACGGTGGACTCCGGTGTTAACAACTGTGAGGACGCTGCGGGACCCAATAGCGTTGTCGTTTTCTTGTGCATAGGGTCACTGTGAGGTGGAACAGACTCACTGGCACCACAACAAAGATGCCCACGGCCTAGGCTCCAGACCCTGTGAAATTATTCATTTGAATGACAAAGAGGAATTCCGGTTAGAGTTAGAATTAAGGTTACTGATCAATAGTCCTGGTGTGGTGCTGTAGGATAGGCACTGGACCACAAGGTTGGAGGTTCAAACTCAGCAGCCGCTCCTTGGAAACCCTATACAGGGTGGTTATGAGTCAGAGCCTACTCGGCACTTAACAACAACAATCAACAATTAAGGTGTCCTGGTGGCACAGTGATAAAGCACTCGACTGCTAATTCACAGGTAGCAGTTAGAACCCACCACCACTTCCATAAAGATTGTTGTCACGTAATGTTGAATGGGTCCTGACTCAGTGGCCCTGTATAGGGTTTCCGAGGAGTGACCAGTGGGTTTGAACCGCTGACCTGTTGGGTCGATATACATTTGAAGAGACTTGATGGCAGCAGCCGAGTGACACCAATGAAACACGAGTGTTCTTAGAAGTGGAAGGAGATTGGAGAGGACTTGACCCTCCACGCTGGCTCTGAAGACGAAGGAAGAAGGCCACAAGCCGAGGACTGCGGGCAGCTCTGGAAGCTGGAAGGGTTCTTCCGGGGGAACCCTGAAAGCAGCCCTCACAGCACTTTGTTGTAGCCCTGTGAGACCCATCCCAGACTTCCGACTCCCCAAACTGTAAATTAACTGCTTTCTCGCTCATTTTTTGTTGTTAGCTGACACTCAATCAGCTGACTGAGCTCGCAGGCACACCAGGAGGCAGCGCTGCCCAGTCCTGCGCGGCCCCATATCAGGGGGGGTCCATGGAGAAGCAGGTCACCAGGCCCTTAGGCTGGTGGTGAATTGTCAACAGACAATGAACACGTGGTAGAAAATGAACACATGGGGCTACAAGAAGAAACGCTCAAACCATTTATAAAGTGGCTGCACCATTTCACATTCGGACGTGTGGAGCCATAGGATAAGCACTCAACCACAGCTCGGTCTGCACGGCAAGGTTGGCGGTTCAAACTCACCAGCCGCCCCTTGGAAACCCACACCAGGACAGCGTTTTACACAACTTGTACAATATGGTTACCATATAACTCACTCACTTACTCTCCCTCACTTCCTCCGAGGGGCACTTTTCTAACATTAAGGGTGTGGTGCGGCCCCTTTTATAAAACACACTACCTGTCTGTAATGACCTCACCTGCCAGAACTCAGGCAACCTGAGAAGAAAGTTCAGAGCCTTCTGTCTGCCACTCACTCCTAAATGAATGACATTTTCAAAGGTCTCCAGGTGTGGCGCTGTAGGATCAGAATTGGACTGCGAACCAAAAGGTCGGCAGTTCAAACCCTTCAGGCTGCTCCTCGGAAACCCTATGCAGGATCGCTATGAGTCGGAACCAACTTGACGGCATTTAACACCAACAATACAGACTTCATGACAAAAGACACTGCTCAGAATCTGACACAAAACTACGTAAAACGTTTTCTTAGTAAAATACTTCTCCTTTATCAAATAGTTCAAATCTATTTCACAAATGAACTAACTTTGAGAAACTGTTTTCTTTAGATGACAGTTTGCAGAAAGAAGACTTAATGTAAACACATTTCAATCAATATGCAGACTTATTTTATTTTTCAAAAGTACAATGTCAGCTTTCATTAGAAGTATTCAAGTACAAAAAATGAGGAACTCTATACCTGCTCCTTATCTATGCATTCATGCAAACTGTTAAGAAAGGGCTAGAAACCACTGACTTGTTCTGGGCAAACTAGCCAAGCTCTCTGAATCAAATATCCCTGGAAACGTGAACTACCTGGATTTTTACACATAGTCACTATTCAGACGTTCAGAGTCATTTTTTAAAAAACAAACAAGGTCTATCATACAATGATTCAGCATCATTATTTTTTCCCCTAGAAGACAAGCGTTTTTAACAAGTATAGGATACATCCTGATGAAAACAATGTTTCAAAAGGCATTTATACTAGAAACAAATTTCTATGCCTGTATGTTTTTAACTTTAGACGTACTTGATTTCAGTAGATCACCCTCTCTAAAGTCCTACTGAAGCCTGGGAGGCTATGGTGTTCTATCACTTGATACAAAGGTTTTGTTAGGGTACTTGACCAACTAGATAATCCTATCAAAAGCTAAGAATCTCTATAAAACTATTAAAAAGTTAGACTGATTCAGACTGACTACATTTCAAAACATATTCCCAAAAAGTTCAGTACGTATGAAAGGTTCATCTTGGGACATAAAAGCAACCAGGTGGTCCCAGGATGCAGTTTGAGATTTTAAATCAGACTGACAGACTGACGTTTGCTCTTTGGTGTACTGCTAAGTTAACATGAATTGGCAATAAGGAAAAAGCATCTGGATTCATGTCACACCAGCAGCGATAATTTCCTGACAACAGTGAGTACGTAAGCACCAGCATCCACTCTGGCTTATGTATTGATCTGACATTTGAAAATCTTTTTCCAGAATGGTAGTTGGCATGTCCACTGGCCAGGGAGAGAACTGATAAGTAAAACAGCAAAGAAAATCAAAGCATCCTTCTAACTTTTTTGATAACTTTTACTTGGAATGATCTTCTGTGACACGCAGTTCTAGAAAGACTCATAGAAAATTGGAGCTGAAAAGAGAAAAAAAAAACCCTTTTGATTGGTACAATAGAAAGGCACACATCAGAAACTAAAGTAACTAGCATCATTAATGCTACAAAGCTTCTACAGAAAGCGCAAGCACACAGCTGAGACACTAACGAATCTGCAGCTATGAAACTGTGAGGGGAGAAAACAAAGCCCACGACTGTATTTCCTTAAGGATAAACCCCTCTGAGCTCTCAAAATGCTCCAGGTTGGCCATTATTTAGTAAACACATAGCACACACTAATGGTTCTCAAATCAAACAGGGTTACACGGTAAATGTGTTACTTGGGACTCCCATTAAGCCAGGTTGAATGAAGACGAAAGGCTAAGAAGGTGGAAGTTTTCTTAGCTTTATAACTGAACGCATTATGATTAGAACTGCACGTTCTGAGATGTAATTCTCTAGCTAACCAGTGCATGACTGAAACATAGCTATACTGTCTTACCGTTTTAATGTACCAGGGATGATTAGTAAACCAAACAATTATCCATGCCTTTGCAGAGCTGTCTTTAGAAAATCATAAATGAGAACCCTTTCTCTCTCCCCCAAACTGCAGAGCCTATAGGCTCATTACACCCACCCAACGCTTGGAGCTTCACTTTTCTCCACATTTCAAAATCAGAAAGGCACCACGGCCTTGTGTTTTCCTAGCTAGTTGGCATGGCGTTGTAATGCCCTGAAAATGCTCGACTGGAAGGTGAACTTGAAGCCATGAAAGCAGAGAGGGTGGAGCAGACTGAGGCCAAGGCCCAGAAGGCAGCATTCTAGGGAGGGCGAGTTCCCGGGAACGTCAGCAACAGCCAGACAGTGACAGCAGGTGAGGGAAGGCGAGAGAACTAACGGACAGAAGGAAACGATCAAAGAGGGAAAACACACACACTTATTTTCTAAAACTTGGGGGACGGGTGTTAACACGTACCCCGGACCTATCCTCCACATGCTACTCAGGACCGCCCCACTGAACTGGGGCCCTCTCAACTTCCCTCTGCGTCTGTCTGTCCGCCACTGGTTTCATGAGATCTGACATCAAAGCACAGGACCTCGAATCGACAGCCTTGATCCCTTATTAAAATAAAAATTCTCACAGAATCAGTGTCAGCAGAATTTGTTGGAAAAAAAAAAGGGGGGTGGGGGTGGAGGGAGGGCTAAGAATTCGTTGTATTATTATACAGCTGTGATTTCCCTAGCAGAATGCAGAGCTTCATTTAGACATGAAATTCAGCGTAACTCTCCGAGTCCTGGAGAGGAGAGGTGCGGTAGGGTCAGCTCTGGACGGCTAACCAAAAGTGGGTCAAACCCACTGTCTGCTCCCTGGAAACCCTACACCAGGCTGCATAGGGCGAGCCCTGGTGTGATGCTGGAACCGAAAGGCCGGCAGTATAAACCCACCAGCCGCTCTCGGAAACCCTAACAGGGTCACTATGAGTCGGAACCGACTCAACGGCACACCACAGCACTGGTAAGTCAGCACTCACTACCCGTGCACTACAACCACAGGTCGGGCTATCAAATGAGCAGCTGAGGCTCTCCATACTGGGACATATTTGACTGTGTTCATTCGTTCACTCGGGCAGCTATTTCCTGAGCACCTACTGTGTGCTGTACAGACACTGCTCTTGGTGACCGTGGGCAAGGACTGTCCTCTCGAGGAGTGACAGTTCAGTCGCAGGAGGCAGACAAGGACTACGTAGACAGGGAGAGAAGTACTAGGAGGAAAATCAAACAGGGCAAGGAGACAGAAAGCGACAGGCAGGCAGCAGGCTGGCCCACAGCAGCTGGCTGGTCAGACACTACTTACTTCTTCCGGTCCTTGTCCTTCTTGCTACCAGTCCCAACAAAGGACTGGCTCTGGTATATTTCAGAGGTAGCTTTCTTTTTAGAAAAAGCAGTTATTTCTTCTTCCAAAAGTCTTCTCTTTTCTTCAAGTTTCATTCTCTCTTCTTGGTGAACTCTTCTAAGATGTTCAAATTTGGCCTGGAGCTGGAAACCAAAGATGCAATTCTCACTACGGACACAATGTGGCAGCACATGCTCAGGAATGTGCTAGGGCTCAGGACAAGACAAAGGGTGATAAACTTCAAATGGTTTCAAAACACATCCTTACAGCAAAAGCTGAAGCATGGAACTGTCTGTGGTGGTGGTGATGTGCCCTGGAGTCCATCCCGACTCACAGCGAACCTGTACAGGGTTTCCGAAGTTGTACATTTTTACGGGAGCACAAAGACGCATCTTTCTCTCACGGGACAGCTGGTAGTTTCGAACTGCTGACCATGAGGTTAGCAGGGACCACTATGTAACTGTCATTTTAAATGTGTTCCTATGACTAGAATAGGGTCCTGTTGTAGTGCTGTAGGATAAGCACTGGACTACTAACCAAGGTCAGTGGTTCAAACCCACCAGACGTTCCTGGAAACCCAATAATTTAACACTATGACAAGGATGTTTGAGGCAAAACTCAGTTTTCAAAACATGAGTCCTTTCCTAGCGAGTTTTTATTTTCTAGCTCTACATTTTCCCTCTAGAGCTTGTTCAAACGAAGTTTCTCCAATTCACGCTCATTTAAATATATTCATTAAAAGAAGCTACGTGTATGAAGTAGTTGGTGAGAACTATTCTGGAGAAATTCTTTGAAAAGCAACTGTCAGTTCCTGTCAAGCACTTTAAGAATCTATGAGGAGGCTTCAAAAATCCCATGGGAAAAGCCCACTATCCTTTAATCTCAGTTTCCCATGAGCTTTTTGAAGCCCCCTTGTCTTTCCCTGAAGTCATTCTACTTCTGCAACTTGAAACAAAATAAGCAAATCCCAAATTCAGGGAAAGTTTTACACAGAAAAACTCACCGTAGTACATTTTATATCATAAGAGGAAAAAATCGCCCAAATGTCCCAAACACAACGAACAAAAAAGGATGTCATTCGGCACACTTTCATTTACCTGAGGCTCAAAATCACCTTAATAAACCAAGGGGACACCTTGAACGTCGAGAGAGACAGGGCTGGGCCGGACTTCACTTTGTTCTACATTTTAAGGGAGGTCGTGTGTGAATCACAGAACGTATATTCATCAAAGCTATGAATGGCATAAAGCTCCGAATTACTAACAGATAAAAAAGAAGTCTAAAAAAAGTGGCTGATTGGAGGAAAACAAAAACAGATAACCTATTTACCATTTTCACCATGAGGGCTGGCATGTACAGTAAGCAATCAATAAACAAAAGTCCTCATTACTACTGTCTTGGGCTAAGGACTCGCTCCCCCGCGTGCACTTTGACCACGCAGGACGCCCTCGGGACGGCGTAATGGAAGGTAACTGTCGGCCATCCCTCGGCAGGGACCTTTTCCTTCTGTATATCCCCAGCACTTAGCATGCTACATGTTAAGATTGCTTGCCTAAGGAGTCTAGAAGATGAAGAAGGACTAGTAACAAGATAAAATGTATATGAAGTCCTGCATTTAAGCTCCAAGAACCAACGGCTCGAGAGAGAATGTCGCCTGGGTGGGTTGTGGTTTACCTAATAAAGACGTCAGCCGGCTCAGTACATTAGCGGGTGACAGGCCTGCTAAGTAGACAGGCGTAGTGTGTGGCACCCACACTCCAGCACTGCTGTCCTCTGGTGGGTTCAGATAAAGCTGAGATCCCTCATTTCCGCCCCGGGCAGCAATCTAACTTTCACGTCACAAGTGGGGCTTGATTAGAAACAATGGCGCAGGAGAGACAAGGAATCAGTCCACAGAAAATCAGAGGCTGGAGAACTCAATGTATAAAACAGGCGCTCTCATGAGCCAGTGTAAACCCCTGATGTTGTTGCTGTTACGTGCCGCCGAGTCAGTTCCGACCCATAGCGACCCAGAATTGGGTTTCCAAGGAGCAGCCGATGAGCTTGAACCTTGTGGTCCAGCGCGTTAACCCGCAGCGCCTTACCAGGACTGCAATGCAAGTCCTCAAATGGACCTGGATAGGGCTGAACTAGATGGTAGAGTTAAGGCCCTTCTAACCTAAGATTCTGGAGTCCTGGTGTGGCACTGTGGGTTAATGCGTCAAGACGGCAAAGTCGTTTGAACCACAAGGTTGGTGGTTTAAGTTCACCAGCTGTTCCTTGGAAACCCTATATAGGGTGACTATGGGTAGGAAGTGACTTGACGACACTTCACCACGACAACCACCTAAGATTCTAACCAAAGACAGCAGATTATTCAGTCCCACCCACATCCATCATTTCTGGCCTGAGAAGAAGAATTTCCAAATATGCAAAAGACGAACAAGAAGGACCGCTGAGCTGTGTGTAATTAGTAGGCAATGTTGTGAAGTCCGTTGTCACTGACACGGTGTACCCCTGGGTCTTAGTAAATGCATTTATGGGGTCACCGTTCAATGACACCTTTAAAATCACCCATTCTTAGGTATCAGAAGTGAATGCTGGAGAAATGCATTTCTCACTCATTGAACTCAAGTTGTGGTTGTTGTTCCACCTCACAGCCACCCACATTATGGTTAGCAGTCCAGTGCTTATCCTACAGTGCCACGCTGAGCTCTGGCTCACTGCAGTTCCCTTTTTATCCTAACTGCTTACACTGGGGCACAGTCTGCTCAAGAAGTCAGTGGACCGGGTATGTCTCCCTCGGCCCCTGCCCTTGTGTTCACAGTGAGACTGATTTGTGGGGGGCTGTTTGTTTTGAATTGTAAATTGCCTAGGATGTTTCTTGAAAGCATCAGGGCCATGGATATTCAGGTATTATACCAAGAAACAGATTTACATGTAAAATGGGGATGTTTAAATAGTTCAAGGCTGGTTATAGACTTCGAAGGCTAAGTATATGAGAGGGGGCTTCAAAAAATGCATGAAAAAGAAAATGAATGAAAAGATGATGGAATTTTTCAACCAACTTTTTGAAGTCCTGTCAGATGTTGTTGTTGTGAAGTGCCTTCGAGTCGGTTCCGACCCATAACGACCCTGCACAGGATTTCCAAGGAGCAGCTGGTGAGTTAAAAGCAGCGGCCTTGCCAGTCCTGCCCTGTACGGTGTACTTGTTCTTGTAGTGGGGGAGGGAGTGTGGGAAATCCCTTGGTCATTTTGGAGGATTCTGAAGGGGTCTTCTTGATAAGGGGGTGTGGTGACTCTGCAAAACAAGTACTGGACTGGTAACTACAAGGTTGGTGGTTCAAGCCTACCAGCTGCTCCAAGGAAGAAAGATGAGGCTTTCAGATCCCACAAAGATTTACAGCCTCAGATTTCAGCCATCATTAACCCAAGGACAAAGTTCAGAAGGGTTAGGAAAGAAGGAAAGGAAATGGGAAATACAGAATGAAGGGGGTAGACTGCTGGTACCTCAGGAGATAGCCTTCAATGACGGGAAACACAATGGGTTCGAATTATGAATGGAGCACTGACTTGCACTGTAAACCTTCACTAAACTACAAGAGAAAGTTTAAAGACTAAAAGCAACTATACGCTACTTGGACATCTCTCCTTCCTCACTGGTGAACTGAGAATCGTGATGTCATGAGAGACAGTAAACTCTGGAAAGTCTTACCCTGATAACCACCTCACCTGAGGACAAGAAGATGAAGAAAATCAGCATCCTTATTCCCATTAGGACTCCTTTACTAACATGCACGTATTAGAAAAGAACTACAGATGAGGGAGTTGTTGAATCAGAGACACTAGAGAAACCCCGGAGCACGTCACTGTGCGGCCCCGGACTGAGGACAGGGCGGGTCCCACACAGCCTCGTGCCATCAGACTGCAGAGGCTACCAAACACACCGCACGTTTTAAAGGAGATGCTGTGTTCATCTTTTAGATATTTAAAACACTGCTTAGAAATCTAGTCCATCCTAAGGCCTTTGTAAACCATTTCTAATGGGAAAATAAATGCTTTCCGGCCAAAATTTTCAAAAAATCAGACCATGATGTTTTACATGTCAGTAGGATAAGTACTGAACCACAGGGTGAGTTTGAATTGCAAGGTCGGTGGTTCAAACTCACCAGTTGCTCCTAGGAAACCATATACAGGGTTCGCTATGAGTCAGAACTGACTAGAAAGCACTTAATAACAATGTATTCAAAGATGATGTTTTAGACAGTGAATTTCTAAAAACAATTCACATCTCAACTCCTGAGATAAAGTCTCCAGATGAACGGTGGTGGTAGTGTGCCGCATAGTGGGCTCGCTCCCAAGGCTGACACCGCGGGCACAGATGAGTGGGACCCCCAAGTACCACATGCCCACCAGACCACGGCCCCACACTTGCCTCCCTCTCGGCTTCCTTCAAGATGGCTTCCTTCTCCTTGACCCGCTGCACAAACATCTGCTTCATCTCCTCTTCCCTCCTCTGGCGTTCCCCGCAGATCTCGTGCCTTTTGGCTTCATAGGTCTCTTGAACACTGAAAAGTTATTTGGGGTATGCTCGTGTTAACAAAATGATATAAACACAAAAACTCTCACGTTTCATGTCAGTTCTCGAATGTACAGTGAAACCTGCGAAAGCCGTTGCATTTTCCTTCTCTAACAGATTCCTGCTTTCACAGGCTTTACTATCTCAGAACAAGGGTTGCGATGGGTTGGACCCAACTCAACGACACTTCACACAACAGCAACAACTGACGTCTTACATGTAACAACCCAAACACAGAATTTTCTACAGCATATAAAAAGCCCCCACTGCTACCTAGAATGTAAAGGGCACAACTCTACTCGGACACACAGGGCACCACCACTAGGAACCCACTCAGGGGCAACTAGGAAATGGGGGGAATGTTCAAGTTCCTGCTTTACCAGTTCTGCGTAAATTTCACCCAAAACATAGTCCTCTTTTGGACTCTGATACAGGCATTACTATGTCTAGAGACTTTCAAGTCTGTGTTCATTTTTTTAACTTTTTACTGTGAATTGAGTGAAGGTTTACACAAGTGGATCACGAGTGTAACCTTCAACAAACCCTACACTCTGTTTCATCTCAATGACTGGTGCCCCCTCCATGGAACAACAGTGACCCCGCTTCCTCCCTGGGGTTCTTGTTTCCAGTCCACCCTCCTTCTCAACTCTGTCCTCAGGTAAATGTTGCCTTTTTGATCTTCAATGACTGACCGTTCCACGGTGAGCACCCTCACGTGCACCTGTCTACTTCTTGGCTGAAAACTGGCTCACAGGGTGAACTCCCTTCCAGACCTGAAGGCCGGTCCATCCTCCAGTCTCCTTCTGACCAGTCTGCAAGTCACCTTGGACTCTGAGCCTCTCAGCCTTACCTCCGTACCTCATCACCAGGCTTTGTTAGCTCTGAAACTGTGCTTGTTAAGTGCCCTTGAGTCATTTCTGACTCCTAGTGAGCCAGTGCATCTCCTCAGGAGCAGATAGCCTCATCTTCTCCTACAGAGCGGTTGGTGAGTTCGAACTGCCGACCTGTGGTTGTAGCCCAGGGTCTGTTCCACAGCACCACCGCCCTGCCCTGTAACACTCACATCAATTAAATTCACTCTTCTCTCAACTTTAGGAGCCTTGGGTGCTACAAACAGTTACTGTACTCTACTGATAACCAAAAGGGTAGAGGTTCAAGTCCACCCAGAGGCACCTTGGAAGAAAGGTCTGGTGGTCACGTGTGAAACCTCAGTCACTGGAAGCGTCCCGGAACACCATTCTCCTGACACAGAGGGCTCCAGGCAATGGCTTCCTGTTCTCCTAATACTGGCGGAGCTCCGTTGGCTCATGTCACAATTCTTTGTATTCAATTCTGACCAAACCAGAACTTTAAACCAATGCTTTCCTCTTCCATTCACACAAACAATAGTTACTTTCAGAGGAAAAAAAACCTAGTGAGCAAAAAGGCGGCACCTAACATTTGTTAACTAGCTGCTGTCAATCAAGTATGCTGGGAATCCTTTTCTGTTCCTGATTTAACATCCGTAGTCACCCTGAAGGGCATGCACGAATACTCTGTTTGACAGGTAAGAATACTAACCCTCAGAGAGACATGGCAGGTAACTGAAAACCTGTATTTGAACCAGAGGCAAGTTCCTTCAAAGCCTCTGAGTATATCCCTAACCACCAAAACATGACTGACTTACGGTTCTCTGTAGATCAGTGCTTCAAACCCACCAGCTGCTCCTCAGAAACCCTCTCCTCCAGGGTCACTGTGAGTGGGCACCAACTAGAGGGCACTCAGCAACAGCAGCCGCAGCCATGTTTCTAACAACTTTAAGGAATCCCTTGGTAGCGCATATGGCTAAGTGCTGGAACACTAGCCAGAAGGTTGAGCGTTCACACCCACCCAGAGGCCCCTTTGAAGACAGGCCTGGCAAGCTTCTTACGAAAGTTCACAGCTTTGGGAATCTTATGAAGCAGTTCTACTCTGCACACTTGGGGGTCGCCAGAAACGACAAAGCAACCTTAAAATGCTACATAGATCTTCCTTTCAGTATTACAGATCCTGTTTGACGAACTTGACCTATACTTATGGATGTTGTTGTTGTTATCATGTGCCGTGGAGTCGGTTCCGACTCACAGTGACCCTGTACAGGGTTTCCGAGGCTGTAAATCTTTACTGGAGTAGAAAGCCTCATCTTTCTCCCACAGAACAGCTGGTAGTTTCCAACTGCTGACCCTGAGGTTAGCAGCCCAATTCGTAACCACTACGCTACCAGAGCTCCTTACTTACGGATGTAGTAGCTCAAAATACCAACCAAGTTGGAAGGAGTCTTTAAATCAAGTATCAGTCCTACCCCTCTGTATACAGCGCTGATAGGGTCGGGCAACTTAAGACATTGGCTACCTAAAATGGGGGGTACTATAAAGGCAAAAAGATTTTAAATACTTACTGATGAAGATCAAAGACCACAGCCTTCAGTATGGATTTCATCTTAACGTAAAGAAAACAAAAAATCCTCACCACTAGACCAATAAACAACATTCTTATCAATGGAGAAAAGACTAAAGTTGTCAAGGACTTCATTCTTCTTGGATCAACTATCAACACTCATGGAAGCAGCAGTCAAGAAATCAAATGACATATTGCATTAGGAAAATCTGCTGCACAAGACCTTTTAAAGTGTTGAAAACCAAAGATGTCAGCTTAAGGACTAAGGTGCGCCTGACCCACGCCATAGTATTTTCAATAACCTCATATACATGCAAAAGCTGGACAATGAATAAGGAAGACCATAGAAGAATTGATTCTTTTGAGTTATGGTGTTGGAGGAGAATATTGAAAGTGCCATGGGCTGCCAAAAGAACCAACAGATCTGTGTTGGAAGAAGTGCAGCCAGAGCGCTCCTTGGAAGCCAGGACTGGCCAGACTTTGTCTCTCATACTTCAGACATATTGTCAGGAGGGACCAGTCATTGGAGAAGGATATCATGTTTGGTAAGGTGGAGGGTCAGAGAAAAAGAGGAAGACCCCCAGTGAGATAGACTGGCATAGTGGCAGCATCAATGGGCTCAAGCATGGTAACAATTGTGAGTTTGGCCCAGGATCAGACAATGTTTTGCTCTGTTGTGCATTGGGTCGCTATGAGTCGGTACCAACTCGATGGCACCTAATAACAACAACAACATAAAGGCACAAAGTGACTGATTTATAAGTCTTCAAGAGGGAGTTTAGTTTCAGCGTGTATGGGGGAAGGTAGATTCCCCACTGAATAGTATTCATCTTGTCTGGACAGGTCTAGTGAAAGGAGATGGGGATAAGATTTTTTATGATTCAATACTGACTGTTATCATGACTAATTGCGACTGTCACAATTATAAAGGTAGAAGTTTTGTAACAAAAACGGGAGTAGTTAATCTTACAATCCAGAAACAGAGGACCCTAGGACCATTAAGGGAGAAGAGCACAAGCAGAATGTGGCACCCTATCCAGAGAAGCAGTGACACCAGAGATTGAGGCAGAGATGGGAACATGGAGAGAGGGAGCAGCTGAGGACTCTAGACTCATGAAAAGAGAAAGGCTGCGTGCTGGTGGCCAGGAGGCAGGCTTCCAGAATGTGTCCTTAGATTGTTTAAATGATCATATATATAAAACAAAAGAAAATATAGGGAATGGAGGCAAATACTGCTGAATGAGCATGCCCGGAGGAGACTGTAATCATTGCAGTGAAATGATGAGTGTAAAATCAATGTTCTCTCATGTGAACAACCACTCAGTTTGCAATAAAAGCTTTAAAAATTTTTTTTTACAGATTTCAGAAAACTTCAATAGCAGTGATTTTGTATTCAAATGTATAAAGGGTTAATCGTGAGAAGGGGGCTGATTACGCTAAATCTGAAATTGCTATACATGGAGATTTAAAAAGTTTTATAAATGTAGGTTCTCTACAGTTTATGCGAATCATATGACAATATTGTTGTTGTTAAGTGCTGTTGAGTCGGTTCTGATTCATAGTGACCCTGTATAGGTTTCCTAGGACTGGCTGGTGAGCTTGAACCGCTGACCTTGTAGCTCAGTGCATGAATCAGCACTGTGACACCAGGACTCCGCAGCAATCTTAGAACCGGCTAATAATGAGACATCTGAGTCCACCGTTTACCTTGGCCTCGGAAGAAGCACATGGGAGCAGCGGCGCCGGGAGATCCCTGAATGCGCATGAGCATTCAGCAGCATGTGCCTGAGAAGAAGCCAAAGGTCTGCTGATGGTGAGGGCTTACAATGGCAGGAGCCATATTAATCAAGGAATTGAAATGAAGGAACGAGACGACGGGGACCCTGTGCATGAAGAGCTCATTGTTCTAGCAAAGCAACAATGAGTGTTTCCTTGAAATGGCAAAGCCAGAAGGGAAAACTCTATGCAAAGGCCTTTGGTTATTTTTTCTCTTTTTCTTGAATCATTCTCCGATTTATTCATGATTTTATTAGTATCCCTTTATTTTAGATTTTGACTCTGGTAGCGTAGTGGTTACGAATCGGGCTGCAAACCTTAAGGTCAGCGGTTTGAAACTACCAGCCGTTCCGTGGGAGAAAGATGAGGCTTTCTACTCCCGTAAAGATTTACACCCTTGGAAGCCCTGTACAGGGTCGCTATGGGTCGGAACCGACTCGACGGCACTTAACAACAACAACAACACTTTAGTATATTTTTATTAAAAGTTAGAAGCCATATTTTAGCTACATTTATTCTACTTGTAATCATAAGTAGTTTTAATATTATATTACCAATGTTCTTAAGACTACCAGGAGACAGGATTTGCCAGTTGAATTACTACCAGCTTAGGTTTAGCGATTATAAACATTCTTCCTTGTAACCTTAGTTTAAGACAATAAAGAATCCTTAAAAGTAACTAGACCATAAATAAGGGCTATGGGTACACCCAGATACGTAAGTAAGAAGTATGACTTAGACGCTCTTAGATTAATGATCAGTAGAATAGGGAAGCTGTTTTTCATGGCCTCAGTTTTTTAGATGCTCTAATAAGTAATGTTTTTGTTGGCTCTAAACAGATAGTGTATGGAGGGAGTTAATTGCACCCAACAATTAAGACTGATGATTTAACAAGACTTAACAGATAGAGGTTAAGAACCATATGTAAAGGTTAACTTGCTCCTCAGAGAAAAGAATAAAAGCTATTTATGTAGGAACAAATGTTTAACTAAAAGGTTACAAGACAGCAGGATGTCACGTATACTTTGACGTAATGTTTCTTTGCTGTAACTTCTTGTCCCTGCTGTAAATGTAAGGGTCGTAAACCATGAAGAATGTGCCCCCAGAATAGACTGTATTTTGAAGACACTGATTACTATATGAAAGCAATGTTTTTTGTAACCGTATATAAGGGGGTTGTAAGATTAAATAAAGTATGAGAGAAGATCTTGAATTCATCACGACCCATAAACTCTGTGTGATTCCTTTTCGCTGACGCCACATCCTCCTTCGGAACCCTTGAATAAGTCCGCTGAGGCTGGCCCCGGCATGGAAAGTCAAGAGAACAACGGTCACTCCAAGTGGCTCAGGTAACTGAACCGACAGGTGGACAGACATAGAGTCGTGCGGAGAGACCCAGTGACCCGTCTTTCTTACTCGGTGGCTGAATGGTAACTGTTTAGTGCAGAGTTAGTTCTATACTCAATCCCTAGAAACTCTAAGTTCAGAGTCTGGGGTGAGGTCTTTAATCATCCACAAGTGACTGATAACCAACCATCCTGTCAGACGATTCCTCCTGGCGGGGACCACAGGGCAGCACAGAACTGTTTCATAGGGTTTCCAAGGCAAGGATCTTTACGGAAGGCGACTGCCGTATCTGTCTCCCTCGGTGCAGCTGGTGGGTCCGAACTTCCAACCTTCTAGCAATCAGAAGCTTAACCCCTGCACCATCAGTAATCCTTGAGAAGTTTGTTGTAGTTAAGTGCCACTGAGTAGGTTCTGACGCATAGCAGCCTTCTAAGGAGTAACTGGTATAAGATTTCTAAGGAGTAACTGGTGGGTTTGAACCTTCAACCTTGGGGTTAGCAGTCTAGTGCTTATCGTCCAGAATGAGGGAACATACAATTCTTTATTTTACTATCAGATGCTGAAGAGAACAGTGAGCGATCCAATCCATAGAGAGAGGACATGTAAAAATGAAACCTCATCTAGCATTAAATTTTCCAGATCTTTTTGCAGCAGCACTGATTCTACGTCCACCTCCCCTTCCTTCCTTTTGAGCTCACTCTCTGGAATACATGTTAGTAGTCAGGGAAATGACAAATCTAGACAAAGAAACCCCAAAGGAACCTTCAGTCTGGTTAAAGGAGCTGAAAATCGTGTTTGTCCTAAGGACTTCAAGCTTTTCTCCATGCAAAAATAGTTCTGGAATGTTACACCAAATCAAATTTGATCAGGTACACTAAGGATTAGTTTCATGTTTAATAGTTTAAATAAAAAATTTACAAGGCAGGAGTGTAGCAGCACAGGAAAATGAGCAAGCAAGTTAGTAACATAACATTCACTACTCTCATCTAGGATCAAGTTCATCAGATTTTAAAATCCTTGAAACTATATTCTCAAAAACCATCTAATTTCTAACGCACTATGAGTCCTGCTGACCACAGGGGGGCAGTTCAAACCCATCGGCCGCTCTTCAGAAACACCATACAGGGAGGGTCTCTATGAGTGGAAACCAACATGACGACAACTTCACAAGAAAAAATAGTCCACTGGAGGCCTGGTGACACAGTGGTTCATCTGTCAGCTGCTGACCAACAGCTCAGTGGTTCAAATCCACCAGCCACTCTGTGGGAAAGACACAGGACAGTCTGCTTCCATAAAGGTGACAGCCCCGGGTACCCGTCCTATGGCCTTGGTATGAGTTGGAACTGACTTCACTGCTACAGGTTTAGTTTTACAAGTTACTTTCATTTGTTTCTTTATAAAATATTTTGTTACATTACTCTAAACCCTTTCATAAGGATGAAATCAACAGAAAAATGTTTCAAGCTTGCTTAAATGCACCCAGAGGCATCTCAGAAGCAAGGCCTGCTGATCTGCTCCCCAAGGAAGCCCCGCTCTAGGCGGCCGCAGCATGAGACCACGCGTCAGAGCCGACGGGATCGCAGTGAGTCTTACGGCCTTCTGTGATAACAGTGAGAGCTACTGTCATCTACTTCATCCAAGGATTCAAATAAAACCAAACAAGAGGCGCTCATGCCTTCCGATACTCATGGCAGCATTTACTGAAATCAAGTAACCATTTGCCATATCTGACTCCATCTAAGTCAGAAGCAGCACAATACTGCATCATTACACCAAGTGGCTCCACTGCATGATGCTGAGACATTTCTAATAACAGAAAGCTATGCTGTTGTTGTTAGCTGCCATCGAGTCGGTTCCAACCCATACAGGGTTTCCGAGGGGCGGCTGGTGGATTTGAACTGCCACTCCAGAAGTCGCTCTTTGCTGACGCGCTCTCCACACAACCCGTCCAGGAGAAGCCCCCACTGACCTGACAGGCTTGTTCTCGGGGCCCACGTCTTTGAAGCCCAGTTCCTCCAGTTTGCAGCGTCTGTACAGCTCGTAGTGCCGCGTGTGAGTCTGCTCCCGCAGGTCTTCCATGTTGGTGCAAATGAGCATCTCCCTCAGTTTTATGAAGTCACAGTGGTTCTCATTTTCCACTAGCAGGAGACAAAGAAAACAGCCATGCTACGTTTCACTTCTGCGTCGCACCTGGTACTGTTAGGTGGCTGGACGCATGAAAACACAGGGGGCAGAGCAGCCAGGTGACCCGGCTGACTGGACACACCGCACACAAAGTTAATTAACAGGACAGGAAGCTTCCTACAGGTTCAGCAGGCAATGAATACAGAAGAAACAGCAAAGAAATGCATTATAGTGTACTACCATACGCCAGGGGTGGGCAATCTTCTTCTACTAAAATTTACAGTATCATTCATTCACGGGCCATACTAAATTATCAACTTAAAACTTACCCTGCTATACTTGGCCAAACACCTAATTAACTTACTCCGTAGTGGTTACGAATCGGGCTGCGAACCTACCAGCTGCTCCGCGGAAGAAAGATGAGGCTTTCTACTCCCGTAAGGATTTACACCCTCGGAAACCCTGTACAGGGTCGCTATGGGTCGGAACCGACTCGAAGGCACTTAACAACAACAACAAATGTGATGGCTAAGGAGCTCTGGTAGTGTAGTGGTTACGTATCAGACTGCTAACCTCAAGGTTAGCAGTTCAAAACGACCAGCTGTTCCGTGGGAGACCGATGAGGCTTTCTGCTCCCATAAAGATTTACAGCCTCGGAAACCCCGTGCAGGGTCACTATGAGTCGGAACCGACTCCATAGCACATAACAACAACATATGTGACAGTTGGAAGTGAGACCGCTTTGGCAGGGCCAGACGTTCTCCCCCCGCCATATGTGCTCCCTGTTTCACTAATATTCTGTTAACAAAAAATTTACAAACCATCCTCCAATCTTTCACACAGTGCTTACAAAGAGTATATAATATCATTTCACTAAAACTTCCAAGGAGTAAATTTTGTAAACCTAAAAGAGTACCATCTGTGCATGCTACAATTATCACATTCTTTCTGCACATGTTACATATTTCTCTTTTGTTTGGCACAGAAGCATAAATAACAAAACTCTAAATTAGCAAATAAACAGACAGGTTCGTCTATGTCTACAGTGACCTAACACTGAAAACCCCACGACAAGCCGTCAGCTCCAACTCACAGCACCCTGAGAAGGCCTGAGTCTCTATGGGAGCAGACAGTCTCTTCTCTCTGCTGAGGAGAAGCTGGGTAGGCTTGAACTGCCAGCCTTATTGCTTTTATATTTTTATGTACTAAAAATATCAAATATTTCCTCAATATTTTTCATAACTATAAAGCCTGTCAATTTTCAAAAGGAGCATTTTGGAAACAAACATTGGAGGGCTAAGCCACTTCCCGAAAGTCACCATCACACAAGGAAGCACTAGTTCCTTATTCACCATGAGCTCCCCGGGTGGCCTGCCAGCCACAACCAAGATCAGCAGTTCAAACCCACCAGCTGCTCCCGGGAAACCCTCTACAGGGTCGCTGTGAGTCAGGGACCAACCTGACGGCACTTCACAAGACCACCGACAGGTGACCTGTACGTTCCTAACAGTCATTCCTAATTGTGGACGGTTCTCTTATTTACCTTGTACAACACCCCAAGGATACTGACGAGCTTTCACCATCTTATTTCCAACTTTTACCTCATCCATACTTCCTACTACAGCAAATGGTAAATGTGCCTGGAGGGGAAAACATATTACCAGTCAGAGCTCCTTATACCGATGTAATAAACAACAGAATCATTCAATAAATAATGAATTTCTTGGTAGTGAATATGTGCTAATATTTCAACAAGTCATTTTCAGACCCTATAAAACACAAAGTACTTTTTGAGCATGGTCTTATAATGCAAAGCATCATGCTACTCGGGATTTAAAAAAAGGGGTGGGGGAACTCTAGCATAGCTATCATTTCCCTGAGTATTATCATTGCCTACAAGACAGAGATAATTTTGAGGAACTTACAAGTACACTCATGCACATGTAGGCACGCACACCACAGAACATGTGTGTACAGCTAAAGTACACATCTCTAGTTAGTGCACAAACAAGTAATAGGTTAAGTACCAAATTGATGCTACAGACACTAAATGCTAAAGAAACTTAGAAGAGTAAGAGATCCCGTGTGCAGGAAGAATGAGGGAAAGGCTGAAGAGGAAAGTACAACCCAAGCTGGATCAGAATGGATTCAACAGATGGACCAAGAAGTGTGGGAAGGACAGACTGCCTGCAACATGGCGGACTAGGCTGACGCACTACACGGACCTGAGAGACCAAATGAGACAGACACAGATGAAAATCCTAGATGTGTGAACTTCAGAGGAAAGGTTAAAGAAGTGGCCTGAGTACTTGCTGGGAGAAGAAGCTGAGCAGGGACGGCAAGGGAGACAGATCGGTGAAAGCTGGCCAGATGCAGCGCGGCCATCTTGAGCTTTTGTGGGCAGCTCTCTGGTGACAGAAGTGGCCTGGCAGAGCAGAGTCACACAGGCGAAGGGGCAGTGAAATGCCTTCTTTTTCTTCCTGCTTCCCTGTGACCAGAGGTATGGCCAGCTCCTACCCTCACCTGTTCTCTGGGAGCACAGCTGGGGCCACACTGGTGTGAGGTGGAGGCCACCGCAGAGACACCAGAACAGCATGAGGTTAAGCAGAAACCCTCATGACCAGCCCCCAGCTGCCCTGTGGTCTAAACACACGGAAGCCAGCTCCATCAGGGGCCTCCACCAACTACTTCCAGACTGGGTGACTGCACATACAGAACCCCTAGGCCTACAGGGACCCCATCAAGGAGCAGGGTTTCTGCTACCACGGCCCTGCCGTACCCCCATCATGAGCTTCCTGGCTGACAGGAGCCCCAGTTTAATCCTCCTGGACCCAACCACGATACTGCGGGTTTTTTGCTTTTTGTTTTGTTTTTTTTCCTGTCATTGTTTTTGCTTCTTTATTCTTTCTTCTCTTTCCCTGCCCTTGAATTCTATCTTTTCTATCTCTGCTTTTGTTTTTCCTTCTTTTCTTCTGATTTCTTTTTTTGTCCTTTGATATTTCTTTACTATTTTCTATTCCCTTTTTCTTTTCTTCTTCCCTCTCTCTGTTTTTTTCTTAAGTTTTGGTTTTATTTTCTTACTTTTGTTTTCTAAGCTCAATTTTCCTCTCCCTTTTTTCTCTTCTTAGTTTTTATATTCCTTTTTTCCCACCTATTTTCTCTTGTCATTCTTGGTTGCTTATCTGTTTATTCTGTTCTTTTCTTGTGTGTGTACTAGGGGCAGTTCTCTTCTTTCCCACCTGAAGGAGACGGTAACCATGTCCTAAGAGCCCAGCCCCCACCATGCCCTCTGCAGCTCCACCCACTGGGCAAAAACCAATACCAGATCCTGTACCATCTGATCAGTGATAGACAGCAGCCAACATCCGCTAATCCCACCCTAACTGAGATGCATGAAGGGAGAATGGGGAATGGTACAATGCTTCCATTCTCTAACCTACAGGAAGACAGCTGGTGAGAGCCTAAGAATACATCAATATACAACCATCAATTAATAAAAACATGGCAACAACACAGTGCCCTGGAGACAATGAAAATTTGAGCACACACAACGGAACAAGAGAGAATGGCTCAAACAAATGACCAAGATGCAGAGCCAGAACACATTTCTGAGGAAGAAATGGTAATGGAGCTACCTGGAAAAGATTCCAAAAGAATGATGACTAGGTACCACCAAAGGACTGATAGAAAGATCAAGGAAAACAAAGAAAACACAGAAAAAACTCCATATATATTCAAGAAAACCTTACAATCACCAACAGGCACACTAAGGTAAGCAGGAGATTCTGAGCCAGGATATAGTAACAGGAATGGAGATCATCTGTCTGCACTGGAGGGTTAACACTGGGGAAGGTCTCACATACACAGTTTAAGTATTATGCCTTATAGTAACCAATTAACATAATTTACTCTCTTAATTGTTTCTTTCAGAAAATGTATTCCAGGTGAGCACAGGAAATAAAATTAGATCTTTAACACAAAAGAATTTAGAACACTTTGTTCACATTAGCCAGCTTTTTGAATACTGAATTCGAGTATCTTTAATAAGGTTGGTTTGAACCTCAAGGTCAGTGATTCAAACTCACCAGCCTCTCCTCAGAAATCCTATATGAGGTCACTATGGACAGGAACCGACTTGAGAGCACTTAAGAATAACAATAGAAACTGAGTATAAAAAATCATTAAAAAGAAGAAACGGAATTGACATTTCTTGAGTGGTGGCATCAGGCACTTAACAAAGGCAGTGAGACTTAATCCTCACCACTTTGTAAATAAGTAAACAGTCTCAAAATGGGCTGGACTCTGAAATTCATCACTGTTCAAAATATAATCAGCTATGTAAAAATGTGTAAGCCTGAAGAAAATAAAACAAAGAAGGCAGTCATTTCTTCAACAGGCAGGTATAAGACAATGAACTTAAAATTCCGAGTAAAAAATCTCCTTGACTTTAAACATTTTACGATTTAAAGTCTTCTAAAGGAGGCTGTGAAGACCTATCAGTGAGCCCTGATTCCGAAGAAATGAAGTTGAGTTCCACGCACGAAAGGCATATCTCATTCTCAGAAGTGTACCATTTTATTTAAATGAAAGCAAGAAGGAAAAAAATAGGCTAAAAAATACATTCTTCTTATACTTTTTCCAACTCAAAGACAAAATTTTTTCTACTCTGGACTTTTTGAAAATTCACCTGATTTGAGGTCACTTTTGGAAGAGACAAGTGAAAATATATTAGCAGCAGCGTTACTAACAAATAATCTGTTTGTGTCCGTTCACATGTAATACAGAGTCAACAGTCCACAGGAGCTTACGTTCATTGCAGAATTGATTTTAGCAATCGTTTCGTCATCCGTGGGGAACTGGTATATCTGGACACCATTGCTAACCAATTCACTCATGAGCTTGATCTTGAATTTCTGCAACTCACTTTTAGAAATTGCATCAGCTTTGGCAATCACTGGTATAATGTTCACCTATTAAGAAAAAAGAAAAACAAAATCTCATAATTGAGGATTTGTTTTTAATCCTGCAATCTTTCACATTTAAACCATCAGTCTCTGGCAGTGACTTTCCTCATCCGAGGAGGTCAGCAAAAGTGTTTCTTGCATCATTATCTGTATAAAGGTTCACTGGGATACAACCTGCCCATTCACTTGCATAGTCTGTGCTGTTTCCAGGCTACACAGCACAGTTGAGTGCTGAAAGCGGACCACAGGCCCTGCAAAGGCTAAAGGAGTAACGACAGACAGTAAAGCCAACCAGTCCCTGACCTCGATAATCTCGGATTGTCATTCTATGTGGCCTGTATGCATCCATTCCTACAAAATCTGGCTTTATTTTTATTACCTTTAAAAAGCAGTTTACATAATCTCCCATCTGATGAAGGTTTAGAAATCTCTCCCTCAAACTCTCTTACAATTCCACCACACACAAAATAAATAAAAAGTAAGTAGTACACAGAAATGGTCTGCTTAATTTTTTCACGTCTTAATCATCTAAGTAGGAGTCCCTGGGTGGCACCCACAGTTAACACGCTTGGCTGGGTAACTTTGGAGTCTACCCAGAAGTGCTTCGGAAGAAAGACCTGGCCATTGACTGCTGAAAACTCAGCCAATGAAAACCTCACAGAGCAGGTTTGACTCGGACACACAGGAGGTCAGCGTGAGTCAGACGAGCTCAGCATCAGCTGGGTTCATAATCTGAGTACTCATCCAGTAACCTCAACAAAGTTGAAGTCTGTCCCTCTGGCTCTCACTCCGGCAGGCTCCTGCCACCCTCGCCCCAACAGTGCCATCTGGTTACCGAGATGTCATAAATTCATGCTGCACCGTTAAAACAACGTTCTCAGTGCTACGTAAAGTCGTATCACAAGCCAGAGACAAGAGACTTACAATCACAGACCCAACAGATGTTGGCCCGTCCTGAGCAAGGCGAATGTACTGTCTCCGCAAGAGACTCACGTCTCCATAATTCAAGGGCTGGTTGGTCCCGCCCCCATTTCCTCCTTTGTAGTCACATGTGTCAAGGGAATGAGATCACATGGCAGTTTTCAGAAGGCAAGTATAAAGTGAGAACTGTAATCCTGTTTTTGTCTCTTCTTCAGTGTTTTCTAACTATTTAGGAAATTCATGGTAGAAAATTTCCCAACAATCCTGGGTCAATGATTTTCATGTTAAATTAGTCAAAGTATATAAAAAGGGACAAGAAGTCTAAGCTTTCAGCTTTGTTGTTGTTGTTAAGTGCCATCAAGTCGGTTCCGACCCATAGCGACCCTGTATAGGGTTTCCAAGGAGCTTGAACCGCTGGCCTTGCAGTCTGGTGCATTAACCCACAGCGCCACACCAGGACTCCAGTATCAGGCTTTGTTGTTGTTGTTGTTGTTACGTGCCGTCGAGTCGGTTCCGACCCATAGCGACCCTGTACAGGGTTTCCGAGGGTGTAAATCCTTACGGGAGTAGAAAGCCTCATCTTTCTCCCGCAGAGCAGCTGGTAGTTTCGAACCACTGACCTTTAGGTTCGCAGCCCGATTCGTAACCACTACGCTACCAGAGCTCCTATCAGGCTTAGCTATTCTTTAATTATGTCACAGTGATGGGGGTAGTGTCCTGACTCATAGCGACCCTGTACAGGGTTTCCGAGGCTGTAAATCTTTACGGGAGCACAAAGCCTCATCTTCCTCCCGCGGGGCAGCTGGTACTATGAAACTGCCAACCGTGAAATCAGCAGTGTGACTCATACCCAGTAAGCAACCAGAGCTTTATTCTTCCAAAGATAAGTGAAAACTAGTGAACCATTCAGACTGTTCTTCACAAGGTCCTTGTCCAGGTTTGCAGTAACAACACTCAGGAGAGTCATTGTTCTAACAGGCTAGAAAAGGGAAGGACCCAAACGGGTAACTGCCCTTCATCCATCTGCCTTTGTTCTGAAAAGCCCATCCCCCCCTTTCCTGTGTCAGCACTAGGGTTAACCTGCTTTTCCTGAGGGCAAATGGCCGCTCCCTAAATTCCTGGATTTATCCTGCTCATTGTTATCGTCTCTTTGGCAGTTCAGAGGTCCACACCAAAAATTCATTGTCACAGAATCGGGAGCACACAGCCTCCTCTTTGTCCTTCGGAAGGGTCAGTGGGTTTGAACTGCTGACCTCATGGTTAGCAGCCCAGTGCCTTACCACAGCACCACCAAGAGCTCCGTGTTCAGTGGTCAGAGGCGGCGTCTGAATCAGTCAGGGCTCAGAACGGGGCTGGGGCTCTGACTGTGGCCACAGACTTCCACAGACCAAACCCTTCAGATTTCAGGCTCCAGCGGATTTTACTCCAGGCCAGAGAGCGGAGCCAGGCAGAAAACAACTCCATCTGACACAACCTTCTTCCACAAAACAACAGAGGCACGGTGCTTATTTTCACTGGATCGTTTATATTTTATTATGAAAAACAGAGTATCATTAAATCACCAATTCTGGAGAAGACTAGAGAATGAATCTTATCATTAATAATCTGTGCTATGTTCATATTATAGCATGTAATATGCCTAACCCAAGCCATGGTATTTTCAATAGCCTCATATGGATGCGAAAGCTTGACAGTGAATAAGGAAGACCATAAAAGAATTGATGCCTTTGAGTTATGGTGTTGGAGGAGAATATTGAAAGTGCCATGGGCTGCCAAAAGAACCAACAGATCTGTTTTGGAGGAAGTGCAGCCAGAGTGCTCCTTGGAGGCCAAGATGGCAAAACTTTGTCTCTCATACTTCGGACATATTGTCACTAGGGACCATCGCTGGAGAAGGATATCATATTTGGTAAGTTGGAGGGTCAGAGAAAAAGAGGAAGACCCCCAGCAAGATGGACTAACCAAGTAGCAGCATCAATGGGCTCAAGTGTGGCAACAACTGTGAGGTTGCCTCAGGACTGGGCAGTGTTTCCTTGTGCTATGCATAAGGTCGCTATGAGTCGATACCAACTTGAGGGCACCTAACAACATCATCATAATCATCATTCTGATACTCTCTCAAAAGTGTATAAGCATGCACGTTCCCTCTTCTGTACAGGGTTTCCAAGAGTAGCTGGTGGGTTTGAACTGCCCACCTTGCAGTTAGCAGTCCAGTGCTGATCCTAGACCACCCCCCGAGGACTCCTTTACAGTAGTTAGGGGCGAGAAACACCCTTGTACTCTGAATCCCGCTTTATAGGGAAAACTAGAGACATTAACTATTTTTAGTATAAACAGTTTTTAACCATCTTTTAAAAAATAAACAAAAATTCTGAAATTAGGATATTTTTAGTAACTCTTGGAATTTACAAATAGTTTCCTAAATCAAAATTCACAAGTAGGCTTTCTTTGTATGGTGCACATTAAAATACCTTAATTTTGATTCCTGAAACATTAAACAATCTTTTACAAAGACGTTCTCACTTAATAGTGAGTGCCGCACATGAAATTAGTGTCAAGTAAATTCTATATAAAAAAATGGAGACGAATGCTTATGTGCGGGCATACAAGTTCATCCCTGGAAAAGAGTTCTCCCCTTCTGAAATGAATTTCTCTGAAAAATCAGCTAAGATTGAAGCAGCCAATGTTTTCTAAATGTACAGAAAAAAACAAAAGGTATGATACAGACATACACTGAAGATGCATTAACAGGTGAAAATCAATACTGAAGTCTAAGTTGATTACTTTTCCAAACCCACCTTACTGTCCAGGTTCTTCATGGTTAAGAGGTCGAGAGTCTTGAGAGAGTGGCCTGTGGGTGAGATGAAGTACAGACACACGTGCACACGGGAATCATGGAAGGTGCAGAGACTCCGCTTAATCTTCAGCTCTTCCTGGAGGTAGGCCTCGAACTGAGCATCTATGTAGTCCACTATTGGCTGATAGCTGAAAACAGAACTGAGTACTTAGGACAGACGGTAAACTATTTGAGGTCAAAGGCAGTATCTTATGTATCTTTTTTCCCCCAAACCAGAACTACCACCTCCATGTTACAAAGAAGATTAATTTCTAACTGTGTCTTTTGGTGGAATGTACAGATAGGTTCATGAGATTGACACATATGGGCCTCATCTAACCTTTTTGTTGGTTTAAAATCTGTACCTGCAGCAAATGACTATGCGGAACCATTTGTTTGAGGTCCGGGTTGTTCAACCATTTCAAAGGCAAGGCAAATTTATATAAACACTAAAGGGCAAGGACAAGGACAAGGACAAGCTGTCCTCAAGTCAGACCTTGAACACTCTAAGAACTCAACTGATAATCAGAGTGCCTGTTACAAATCCTAGTCAGTGGTCCTTGGGCAACTGGTCTAACCTCAACCAACATGATTCCCCTCCCAAAATGGTAAGTTAACATGTGGGAAATGACAAGCAAACTTCAAAACGTTTGTGGAAAAATTCCATTATCTTTTAATCCCAAACTTTTTTAAGCCCCCTCATATGTGACAATTAAAAACTCCAATAAAATTTATTAATAATTTACAGGTTAGTATTAGGATTCACTTTTCCCAGAAAGTAACACAGAATCCTACTAAGACATCTGTAAATGCCACTGTTCACTCTCCTGGACTCCTGATGTGGCACTGTAGGATTAGCACTGGGTTAAGTTCAGCAGTTCAAACCCATGAGCTGCTCCTCAGAAACCCTACGCAGGGTAGCTATGAGTCACTTTAATTGGAGTACTGGTAGGGAACCATAGGACAAGCACTTTAATGCTAATCTCAAGGTCCAAGGTTCAAACCTGTCAGCTGCTTCTGAGAAACCCTATGAAATTCTTTGTGTAGGAATACAGTCAGTGGCAAGTAACAACAACGTCCAAACAGCCCAGCACTGGTTCAATGATTGCTGTTGTTAAGTTGGTTCTGACTCATAGCAACCCTGTATAAGGATCCTGAGGAGCAGCTGATGGGTTTGAACAGCCAACCTTGTGGTTCGCAGTCCAGCGCTGATTCCACAACACAACATGAATGAGAGACCAGGGTAATAAAACTGAGAGCTCAGAACTAAATCCAAACACCTATGGACAACTGATTTTCAACAAGGAATCAAAGTTCCTTCAGTGGGACGGAAATAGTCTATAACTAATGGTGGTGATCTACCTGCAGAAACCGCCAACAGGCCCCACACCTCACACCGAATACACGCCTGGGGTCTACCTGAAGAAACCACAACAGACTCCACACCTCACACCCAACACACACCTGGGGTCTACCTGCAAAATCCTCAACAGACTCCACACCTCACATCAAACACACACCTGGGATCTAACTGCAGAAACCGCAACAGACCCCACACCTCCCACCAAACACACGCCTGGGGTCTACTTGCAGAAACCGCAACAGACTCCACACCTCACACCAAACACACACCTGGGATCTACCTGCAGAAACTGAAACTTCTCACAGTTGTTATGTTTGAGACATCACTGCTGTCACTGTGCCAACCCATCTTCCGGCTGGGGGGTTTCCTCTTTGTCACTGACCCTCTACTCTACCAAGCATGATGTCCCTTCTCTAGGGAATGGTCCCTCCTGATGACGTGTTCCAAGTATGAGAGACGAAGTCTTACCATTCTGGCTTCTAAGGAGCACTCTGGCTGTACTTCTACCATGGTACTTTCAATATTCTATCCAACACCGTAAGTCTAACGCATCAATTCTTCTAAAGCCTTCCTTATTCACAGTCCAACTTTTATATGCATATGAGGCGAGTGAAAGTACCATGGTATGGCTCAGGCATACTTTAGTCCTTGAACTGACATCTTTGTTATTGAGTACATTAAGAGGTTTGCCTAATACAATACATCGTTTGATTTCTTGACTACAGCTTCCATTAGGATTGACTATGGATCCAAGCGAAATGAAGTCTTTATCAACTTCAATCTTTACTCCATTTATGGTATTTATTGGTCCAGTTGTGAAGGTTTTTGTTTTCTTCTTCATTGAGGGGTGATCCATGCTGAAGACTTGGATCTTCATCAGTATTTTAAGTCCTCTTCACTTCCAGTGAGCAAGGTCATGTCAACAACCCACTACATATAGTGAGTTGTTAATGACTCTCCATCCAATCCTGATGCCTTCCGCATATAATCCAGCTTCTCAGATTCCTGGCTCAGAATACAGATTGAATAAGTATGGTGAACGAATACAACTCCGGCGCGTACCTTTCCTGATTTTGAACAATTCTGTCTCTCCTTGGTCTATTCTCTCACAAATATCTCTTGGTCTTTGTACTGAGTCTTCATGAGTACAATGAAATGTTCTGAGACACCCATTCTTCACAATGTTATCCATAGCTTGTCATGATCCACACAGTCATAAAAGCCTTTGCACAGTCCATATGCACAGTAAACATCTTTGTGGTATTCTCTGCTTTCAGCCAAGCGACATCTGATGTCAGCAATGTTCCCCCAGGTCCTCTTCTGATTCCAGCTTGAATTTCCGGCAATTTTTCTGTTCATGTGCTATTCCAATCATGTTTGAATTATCATCAGCAAAATTTTCCTTAGGTGTGATATTAATGATATTGGTAGATGACTTCCGCATTCCGTTGTGTCATCTCTGTTTGGAATGGGCACAAATAGGGGGCTCTTCCAATTCATTGGCCGCGTAGCTGTCTTCCAAATGTCTGAGCACCTTTAGTGCTGCAGCCGTTAGTTGAAACATTTCAATTTGTATTCATTCCGCCAATCCCTGGAGCCTTGATTTTCACCAGTATCTTCACGCAGATTGGACTTCTTCCTTCAGCACCATTGACTTTTGATCATTTGCTACTTCTTGATTAGATAGATGAGCACTGACAATTTCTTTTTGGTACAGTGACTCACTGTTTACCTTTTGATGTTTTTGCATCACCCAATGTTTTGTCCATAGAATCTTCAGTATTCCAAGTCAAGATGTAAATTTTTCTTCAGTTATTTCAGCCTGAGAACAGCTGAGTGTGCTCTTCCCTTTTGGTTTTCTAACTCCAGGTCTTTGCATACTTCATTACAACACTTCGCTTTGTCTTCTAGTCAGCTCTTTGAAGTGCTCATTTCTTCCACACGCTTTAGTATCTCTACGCTGGAGAGCAAATTTCATAGTCCATTCATTTGGTCTTTATTTCATGTCTTTTGAAGGCCCTTTGCTTTCTGCCTGTATGATGTTCTTAATGTCATCTCACAGCTTTGCTGGTCTTTGGTCATTAGTGTCTAATGTTTCAAGTTTTTTCTTAAGACAGTCTCTAAATTCAGATGGCATAAACTCAAGGTCACATTTTGGCTCTTTTGTTCTTCCTTGTCTTCTTAATGACTTTTTGCTTTCTTCCTATAGGGTGCTCTTTCTCCCTATAGGGTGCTCTTTCTTCCTATAGGGTGCTCTCTTCTGGTTTTGGGTCATGCATCAACTCTGTTCTTGAGACAGTCTCTAAATTCAGGTGGGATATGTTCAAGGACATATTTTGGCTTTCATGGACTTGTTTACTTCTCTCTTCAGCTTCACCTTGAACTTGCATATGAGCAATTGATGGTCTGTTCCACAGTCAACCCCTGGCTTTGCTTTGGTTAATGATATTGAACTGTTCCAACATCTCTTTTGATTCTAGTATATTCCATCTAGTGATTGTATTCCAACTATCTTTTATAGTTGCCTTTTGGGTTGTTTAAAAATGGTATTTGCAATGAAAAAATCATTGGTCTTGCAAAATTCTATCATGGGATCTCCAGCATCAAGACCATATTTTCAAATTGCTGATCCTTCCTCTTTGTTTCCAACCTTTGTATTGCAATCAGCAGTAATTATCAGTGCATCTTCACTGCATGGTTGATCAATTTCCGACTGAAGAAGTTGGTAGAATTCGTCAATTTCATCAGTACTGCCTTCAGTGATTAGTTTAAAAACTTGAATAAATTGGTAATTAACTTCTCTTCCTCACAGGTGTCACCACGGACAGCACTGTACAGCAAGAGAGAGCTCAAAACGCTCTTTTTGGAGATGAATGCAACCCCAATTCCTCTTCAATTTGTTATTCCCATCACAGTAAACCATATAATTATTCAATTCAAAGTGGTCAATACCAATCCATTACAACACAGTAACACACAGAATAGATCTTCACTCATACCATTTCATTTTTTTTTTTAATGTTTTATTGTGAATTATGTTATAGTTTACACGGGAGAACATTCGCTTTACATTCATTCTATTATATATCATTCCATTGCCATGGTTATAATCCCCTCCATGCATCATCAACCCTGGAAGCCTGCCCCCGGTCATCAGCACACAGCCCCTCTCCCTCTCTGAGTCTAGAGTCCTCAGCCTTTCTATCTCTCCACGTCATCATCTCTGACTCCATCTCTGGTGTCACTGTTTCTCTGGGTAGGGTCTCGCACTCCGCTCTTCCCCCTTGATGGTTCCAGGGACCTCCGCTCCTAGACTGCAAAGTCAATCACTCCCATCCTTTTGCTACAAAATGTCCACCTTTACTTTTCCAACCCTTGCTGTCAGTCCTAACAACAATTATTCACCATTGTACCACAAGGGACCTATCTATCCCCATCTCCTTTCATTAGACCCATCCAGACAGACTAGATACTACTCAGTGGAGATTCTACCTTCCTCTGCACCCTCTGGATCTAGGTTCCCTCTGGAAAGCTTGTAAGCCAGTCACTTCTTGCCTTTGTAGCCGCCCCCCCCCCTCACTTTGGGTAGCCAATGTCCAAGTTGCCCATCCCTATCTACTCTGTGTATGGTGGGGGTGGGAATGATCCTCACTGTAAAGATTTGTTCCCTCTTTTGAGCTACTACATCCAGAAGTGTAGGTCAAGTTCATCAAATTGTATCAGATTACTTTTTCCTCTTCTTTCTTTGAGTTCTGATCATCCAGCCATTGAAGCCAGGTCAAGTGG